CATGCGGCTTGTTTAAATCTCATTTGAATTCTAATTGAGCTTGGCGTTCTCATCAGGCAACTTTCATTTTGTAATGCTTGGAATTGATGCCAACAAGACCGTCCCCATTTTGCAGAGGTCTGTGATTAATTTGGCTAATTAACGTACGAATCTGAACTGCGAGCTGGAGTTTTTTTAAGCGAGCTCTTGGGCCGCATAATTAATACGTTACGTATACGCATTGGTGTCGCTGCGGGAGGCGCCACCGGCCCGATCGGCGACCCAGCAGCAAAATTAAAGTTCAAAGTGCTCCAAAGCCATGGTAATTGGAGTTTCGGAGTCGTCGTCGTGTTTTTTTTTGTGGGAAGCAACCGTTGAGCCGCTGAAAGGTGGCAACTGTTTTGCCAATCTTCGCTAAAACTCCCTAATGGCTTTGAGCGACAAAAACTAGGAAGGAAATAAATTACTTTGTGGTCTGTGGGCACAGTAGGATGGACCTGCTTGGCGGGGGCCTTTGTTTTAGTTACCTTACGTTACCAAAAAATAAAAAAGAAAAAAGATAGAGCTGAAAATGGGGGAGATACATACGAGATTTTGGAATTCCATTTCATTTCGTGCGCGACCTTAAAATACTAGTTTGTAAAATGCAGCGATTCCGAATCCGGCATTGAAACAGATTAGTTTCTTCGGTTGAAAAAATTAACACCTCTTAAATTTGAAATACTCTTTTATTATCGCATCGCCACCGAAAATTATGCATTTTCAGCACATTTGTGAAATGCTTAATGGCCTGAGGTCGAATTAGTTGGCTCTTAAGTGTTTATGAGCCGCAACCGGATTTTAGAGATTGAAAATCATAGCCGCCTTCGAGAGCTCGCAAATACGTTTGTGTAAATAGCAAAAGTGCTCGATAAATAATTTTTAAAATTACTCTATTCAATAATGAGTGCGCGGCTGAAGCTGAAGCCCCCAACGAGGTCTCATTAATGCGCGTAGCACACAATAAAAAAGGGTTAAAAACAACAAGTTAAAGACCAGACATTGTTCCACATGTGAGGCGACTGCGGTTAAGGTGCCCGCAATAATGACTCGGGCCACAAAAATCTATTAAATCTAAATGACCCTGGAGATCACACAAGCAGCCAAGAAATGGTCGACTAACGATCACCATCCATCAATGGAAATGGGCAGTCAACGGCGGATAATAACAGAATTGGGATTGGGATGGCAATTGAAAAATGTCTGCCATAGATTTTACGGATTGTTATTATTATGGCCCGTCTGCTACTTTCGTTTCGCTTCGAAAGACGAAAGCCAAAAGCCTTTGCAAATGTCAAAAGGTTGAGCAATTGCAATGATTGCTTTTGGAGTTTCGTCATCTCTCTGGAGGATGAGCACAGGTCGTATCCGATCCGATCGGATTTTATCGGCTTAAAGCTGGAGCAAGTCCACGACTTCCCATGGCAAATTGATCAGCCTGGGAAGCGTAATGATGCCACATTATCATACGTTTTTCGACCGTGATTTATGATCCAGTTTGATCGATTTGACCGATTTTGGGAAAAAGGGGAACTTCGTCTACAACTAAATCGAAAGTGAAAGATTTCACGATACTGACAGCTTGGCAATGACAATGCCAGGCCATTGTCTCACCCACTAAAACGCTTGGGGGTTAACCAGTTACCCAATGCCCCATCCGAATCCCCAACTTTATATAGCAATTTCAATTCCAGTGCCCTAGGTCCAATCAGCACGCGTCAAAGGTGGCGCCAAAGTGACGAACCAAATTATGATTCGGATCAAATATGCACAAATATATTAAAAAAACGCACAAACTAAGGCGGCTTTATAGCGGTAGTCGTTTCGGGTTTTGCATAATCCCCGAAGACCCTGCTGAGACACCCGCATTGTCGTCTGTTTATGGTCATATTTATGTAAGAGCCCCAATCAGGTGAGATGTCATCAAATATTTGCCCAGTTCATTGGATCGACTCATCATATCTGATGGAATGCACATTTCCATCCGTTCCTCCGGGGTTTTCACAACCACATCGCAGATGGACAGCCGTAGATATAGGGTCCGATTGTCTTTTAAAACCACATCAAAATCAATATCGCGTATCGATCAACATCCAAAATTGAGCATTGTCTCAATGTTCGCAGCCTCCGATGTGATGATTCGGATTCGAATGCAAATTCATTTGAATAACAGCGCCAACAATAACCGCTGCGTCTCCATATCCGCTATCATTTATTGTGCGGAGGTGGCTAATCCCAATTCAGCATTTCTTTGTTTGCTTTATGGCTTTTGGCGAAGGTTGAGCAGAATGAGTTTAGACATGCTGGCGAAACTTTTTAATTTAATTCGGCAATATTGCAACATAAGCAAAATACTACTATTCAAGTAATCAAAAATAGTTTCTTACTTATATAAGAATATTCATATCTAACCTTTCAAACACTCAAATATTTCAAATATTTGGTATTTATAAATTTATATTATTTCTTAACAAATTAAATCCTTGATCCATGATCTTATTCGTCTGCAGCCGCTCAGAGGTTTCAAAACCTCCAGGATAAGACAGCAGAGCCCGATGCCCAATCCAGCAAAGTACATGCAAAAAATATAGTAAAGGTCATGTACTTCGATATAATCAGCCACACGAGGCGGACTCAAATCTTCAACGGATACGAGATTTAGACTCCACATGTCCAAGAAGCTTTTATCCATCCAGTGTTTAGTTAGGCCAAACTCCTGTTGACGAATCACGTGCTCCTCGAAGAGATCGCGATAGGGTAAAAATCGTCTCACAGGAAAGCTCAGGAAACCGCGACCATTTAGACACAGTTTATCTGAGTAGTAAGCAATTGGGAATTTAAAAAGAGACTGTTGCTCCTTAAAGTTATGCCAGGTCAAACCAGTCATTTCGTAAGTATAGGTGTTATTTAAAGTGCGTCTCACCTGATCGAATTGGCTGAAGTTCTTGAAGACCACCACCTTCTTTAAGCTAACGTTCAAGGATTGCAGCATATCCATTCCGTAGTAAGTTATGGCCAGCTTGTATCTGGACCTCTCGAAGTCGGCAAAGGAACTCATAAGCTGATCGACTGGTGGGCCCACTTGAAAGGAATGGAATACGCGGAATACATGGTGGTTGTGATCACACTGGAAGAGCAAAGAATCATGAAAATCAGCTTAAGTTTTCTGCTGGAGAGACGGGGAAAAGGAAACGGTTGTGCCAAAAATCCCCTCATACATGTATCGTTCATCAGAACGCCGGTCAGGCTGAGAGCTCGCCATGATTGTTTCTGGAAATAGATCAACATCACCGAGAAAACGCAGAATATTACGAAGAGCACTACTAGCACGGAGGGATCCACGATCGCCATGTAGATCTCACTATTAGGCATCTTATCTGGAAGAGGCACCATAAAGCAGTGGGAACTCATCAAGTACGGATAACTGAGCGTATCAAAGTTATTCGGTTTGAAATAGCCGGCCGGGCTCATCCAATATCCACAAGATCTTCCGAGGCCCATTTCGAAATATTAACGAAAGTTATTTTCTTTCCGACTTCGACCAATTGCACCTGCATATCCATGGTAGCGTTAACCTTCTTGACGAAGTTTTTCAACAAATTGGCCACGAAGCCCATATTCTTATTCTCACCAGTCTTGGGATCGCGGTAAACCATGCATCGTGGTGCGAAGTTGTCTGAGATAGTTCTGAGCAGCACTCCTTGCATGTTTCTGAATTGCTCTATGAAAATTGGGTTTCCTTTGAATAGATTGATCTTTTCAAAGTTTGGTTCTTGAAAGAGGCGACAGGATAATACTACCTCGAGTTGATCGAAGTTTTCTTTCACCATGGCTACATTGTATTGCTCTTTTTTCGAATAAAAGTCGCACACCGACTGCGGTTGTATATCCCCTCGTAGAAGGATTAGTCTTCTGTTCATTTGCAGCTTTATTAGTGTGCGATAGTTCTCCTCCCTTTCGGCTTCAAGGTCACAACTCAGTATAAGTGTTAAACTGCTGAAGTTCCATTCGAAGTGCTACCAGAAGACACCAATACTCTGGGGACTTGTAGTCGTCTGGATAGAGAATGGAAAGCACAATCCTCTCCATAAATTAGTAGGGTGTCGTAGAGTTTCTCCTTTTGCAATCTATGGAGAAGTCGAAATAATCTTTGGTCTAATTCCGATTCAGTGGTGCTGGTAATGTCCAAGAACTGAGCGTTTAAGTTCCCAAGAGAGAAAAGTATGAATATTAACCAAACCATGGTTCAAAAGCAACTGTTGGTAAATCCGCCCGTTCCTACAATTTTGTACTTTGGATTGCCTACTGCTACTACGTCCTTGGATTGTTTCCCTGAATGTTTGGCAGGCATGCCATTTGTATGTTTCTAAAATTGTGTTGACATGTCTAAAGTTGTACAAAAACCCCAATGGCATGTTTAATAAATAGTTGCATTAAAATATTTTTGTTTCGTGGACTCAGATAGAATGGTAACTTTTAAATTTCCGGTTAGGGGTTTCCTTTGGAAAAGTGATCCCCTTTCCAGATCATATTAATGGTACCCATTACTGTGGGGACTTGTAATCGTCTGGATAGAGAAGGACAAACCCAATAATTAGGGTGCGTTTAAAAACTGAATTCTTGTATTATCCAGACAGAGAAGAATTATTATAAACCAATCCATACCATTTTGTACTCTACACGCCGTTAGTTAGTTTCACATATTTTGTTAACGTTGTTGATGTATGTATTTAGTGGTTGTAATAAAAGTACATATATTTCTGGTGGTCACGAAATAGGTAGTGTGTTGATTTCTCAATTTCCCACAATGCCTCTATCTTTTTAGAGTATATGGCATATGTGTTGGAAATAGGAACTTTTTGAGGTAAAGTGCTTCGATTTAAAGAAAATCAGAGACGCGTATGCATTCCAAATCAAGCATACGGTCATTGCGATAACGAAAAAATATGTTTTCATTATATATTGGAAAGTGTAATGAAATATTAATTTTGTATCCTTAATTTGAGTCGTCTGAAGCAGCTGAGAGGTGACCAAATCTCCACGATAAAACAACAGAGAGCGGCGCCCATTCCAGCAATGTACATTCCAAAAATGTAGTAAAGATTATGTACCTCGATAGAATCATTCGGGAGGGGGCGAATGAAATCTTTCGGCGATGTGAGATTTAGTTTCCACATATCCAGGAAGCCTCTATCGATCAAGTGGTTCGTCAGTCCAAACTCCTTCTGGCGCAGCATGTGCTCCTCGAAGAGATCGCGATAGGGCAAATGACGTCGAATAGGAAAGCTTAAGATATCAAGATAATTAAGACAGAGTGCTCTTGAGTAGTAGAACAGTGGGTTGCCAAAGGTATTTTGCTGTTCGTTAAAGGTCATCCAGTGCACTTCGGTTACCGGGTAGACAAAGTTGTCATTAAAAGTGCCTCGCAAGTGCTCGAATCGCTTAGGATCAAGGACCAGCATCTTATCCTTGCTGATGTTCAAAGCTTCTAGTATCTCTTCGTCGTAAAAGGGTATGGCCGCCGTGTACCTGGATTTCTGCAAGTCGGTGAAGGAGGTCATATACGGATCGACTGGAGGAGTGTATAGGAAAGCCTGCAGGTAAGCAATATACATGGTGGTCGTGATCACACTGTAAAAGCAAAGAATCGTGAAAATCAGCTTAAGTTTTCTGCTGGAGAATCGGGGAAAAGGAAACGATTGAGCCAAGAGTCCCCTCATACATATATCGTTCATCAGGACGCTGCTCAGGCTCAGAGATTTTTTCTGCAGATAGATCTGCATAACAGAGAAAATGCAGAAAATCAATAAAAACACTATTAGGACGATTGGATCCACGATCGCCATGTAGATCTGCATAAGAGGCATTTCATCCGGAAGAGGAACCATCAAGCAGTAGGAACTCAAGAAGTACGGATAAGAGATCGTATCGAAGCTCTTCTTTTTATATGTAAGAGCCCAAGTCATCCCAATGTCCAGAAGATCTTGCGAAGCCCAATTCGTTATATTCACAAGAGACATTTCCTTTCCGGCCTCGACCAAATGCTCCTGCATGTCCATGGTAGCATTGACCTTTTCCACGAAGTGGTTTATTAAATTGGCCACGAAACCGACATACTTCTCTTCCCCGGACTTAGGATCCCGGTATAGCATGCATCGAGGGGCTGTTAGGTCTGACAATGTTCTAATCTTCGCTCCTTGCATGTTTCGAAATTGTTCTATGAAAATCGGGTTACCTTCCAAAAGGTTTACTTTTTCATAGTTTAGATCTTGAAATAGGCGACAGGAGTATACAACCCCGAACTGATCCAAGTTATCTCTCACCATGGCTATATTGTATTGTTCTTTTTTCGAATAGAAGTCGCACACCGACTCCGGTTGTATATCCCCTCGTAGAAGGATTAGCCTCCTGTTCATTTGCAGCTTAATTAGTGTGCGATAACTCTCCTCCCTTTCGGCTTGAAAGTCACAACTGAGTATAAGTGTTAAACTGCTGAAGTTCCATTCGAAGTTGGTGCTACCAGAAGACACCAATACTGTGGGGACTTGTAGTCGTCTGGATAGAGAATGGAAAACACAATCCTCTCCATAAAGTAGTAGGGTGTCGAAGAGTTTCTCTTTTTGCAATCTTTCAAGAAGTCGAAATAATCGTTGCTCTAGTTCTGGTTCAGGGTTGCCGGTTATGTCCAAGAACTGTGCGCTGAGATTCCCAATACAGAGAAGAGTGAATATTAACCAAACCATGGTTCAAAAGTAACTATTAGTAAATCCGCACGATCATACAATTTTGTACTTTGGATTGCCTACGGCTACTACGTCCTTGGCTTGTTTCCTTAAATGTTGGTCAGGCATGCCATTTGTATGTTTCTAACATTGCGTTGACATGTCTAAAGTTGAACAAATACCCCAATGGCATGTTTAATTAACAGTCCCATTACAATTATTTTATTTCGTGCAGTTAGATAGAATAATAATTTCTCGATTTTCGTAAAAGGGGTTCCTTTTTGTGATGGAAAAGTGTTCGAGTAACCCCAGGGTAAGTTTTCCCAAGATAGAGGAAATTATTTAATTTATTTGACTTAATTAGCAAATTACAATGCAAAAATGTATTAAAAGCTCTAGAAAATAACTCGTAGTAGTTTCAAATTATCTCCAGCGGTTAAGATTATGTGCGATCAGCTCCAATCCAAAACAACAGCAACTAATGCCCATTCCAGCGAAATACATTCCAAAAACCCAGGAAAATTCTTCTACTTCGTTATAATCATCCAGGAGAGGTGGACTTAAATCTTCAAGAGAGGTGACATTTAGTCTCCACATGTCAAAAAAACCTCTTTCGATCCAGTGCTTAGTAAATCCGAACTCCTTCTGTCGCAGAATGTGCTCCTCGAAGAGATCGCGATAGGGCAAATGACGCCGAATAGGAAAGCTTACATAATCAAGATAGTTAAGACACAGTGTTTCTGAGTAGTAAAACAATGGATAATCAAAGAGATTTTGTTGTTCGCTATACGTCATCCAGCGCACTTCGGTTACCGGGTAGGCATATTTGGTATTAAAAGTGTCTCGTAAGTTAAAGAATCCATGCAAATCAAGGACCAGCATCTTTTCCTCGCTGACATTCAAAGATTGTACTATATCTTCATCGTAAATGTTTATGGCCACTATGTACCTGGAATTCTCAAAGTTGGGGAAGAAGTCCATATACGGATCGAGTGGAGGATCATATATGAAAGCCTGCAGGTAAGCAAAATACATAGTAGTTGTAATCACACTGGAAAAGCAGAGAATCATTAAAATCAACTTAAGTTTTCTGCTGGAGTAACGGGGAAAAGGGAACGATTGAGCCAAGAGTCCCCTCATACATGTATCGTTCATCAGGATGCTGCTCAGGCTCAGAGATTTTTTCTGCAGATAGATCAGCATCACAGAGAAAATTAAGTATAACAATAAAATCATTATTAGGACTATTGGATCCACGATCGCCATGTAGATTTGACTAAAAGGCATTTCATCCGGAAGAGGGACCATTAAGCAGTAGGAACTCATAACGTACGGATAAGAGAGCGTATCGAAGTTTGACATTTCATAGTAGAGAGTTTCGCTCATTCCAATGTCCAGAAGATCTTCCGCAGCCCAATTCGTTATATTTACAAAAGACACTTCCTTTCCGGCCTCGATCAAATGCTCCTGCATTTCCATGGTAGCATTAACCTTTTCCACAAAGTGGTTCAGCAAGTTGGCCAAGTAGCCGATATACTTCTCTTTGCCGGATTTGGGATACCGGTATAGCATGCATCGAGGTGCATCTAATTCTGGCAAGGATCTAATCCGCGCTCCTTTCATATTTCGAAATTGTTCTATGAAAATCGGGTTACCTTCGAATAGATTTACATTTTCAAAGTTTAGATCTTGAAAGAGGCGACATGAGTATACCACCCCGGACTGATCCAAGTTTTCTTTCACCATGGCAACATTGTATTGCTCTTTTTTCGAATAGAAGTCGCACACCGACTCCGGTTGTATATCCCCTCGCAGAAGGATTAGTCTCCTGTTCATTTGCAGCTTAATTAGTGTGCGATAGTTCTCCTCCCTTTCGGCTTGAAAGTCACAACTGAGTATAAGTGTTAAACTGCTAAAGTTCCATTCAAAGGTGGTGCTACCAGAAGACACCAGTACTGTGGGGATTTGCAGTCGTTTGGATAGAGAAGGAAAAGCACAATCGTCGCCATAAAATAGTAGGGTGTCGTAGTTTTTTTCGATTTGCAATCTTAGGAGAAGACTGAACAATCGTTCTTCTAAGTCTCGGTTGTTGGTAACATCCGAAAACTGAGCCGTTAAATTCCCAAGGAAGAGAAGAATTACAATTAACCAAGTCATGGTTCTAAAGAAACTGTTGGAAAGTCCGTGTGTTTCTTGCATTTTATATTAAACACGGATTTGGGTTGTTTTACTAAATATTGGTTAGGCATGCCTTTTGTATGTTTTTCATAGTGTATTTACATGACTAGAGGTTTTATGTGCAACCCCTTCCAAGTATAGTATATTAAATTAATAGTTGCAATAAAGCTACTCATATTTTGTGGAGTCAGAAAGAATGTTAATGTCTTAATTTCAGTTTTAATTACTTGTCGAGTATATTATATTAAATTAATAGTTGCAATAAAGTATCTCATATTTTGTGGAGTCAAAAATAATTTTCATGTCTCAATTTCAGTTTTAACTACTTGTCGAGTGCAATGCCGAGTTGCCGAGCATTTATCAAGATTTTTATACACTTGCAGAGGGTATAATGATTTCAGTCAGAAGTTGCAGTAAAGGATTCTTGTTCAGCATCACTAGGCGAGTTGATCTAGCCATGTCCGTCTGTCCGTCCGTCTGTCCGTCCGTCTGTCTGTCCGATCCTACGCAAACTAGTCTCTCGGGAATAAACTTTCCAAAAAATCGTCTTTCTATTGCAGGTTTTATATAAGCAGGAACCGACCGGGCCGGTTTATATAGATCATATAGTTTTAATAGAAATAATCAGTTTTTGAGATATAACCTCCTTCGCTTGGAAATAAGATTTTTTTAATAATTGGCTTTCATTGTATTTTCTTCTACTCTGGGATTTGACTCTTGTTTAATATTTCAGAATTTTGAATTAAATTTAACAATAATCGTACAATAATATTTTAGCCGCCGAAGGTAGATAGAAAAATTACGAAATTTAAAATTTTGTAATGTAATAGTGTAGGATTGGGGAATTTAGTATAAGTGTATCACCCTTGCAGCGTAAGATTAACAGCGACATCAACGGTTTAGGCCCAGTACCTTGATTTGATTTTGAATTGCGCTCTTATTATTATTTGTTATCCAATACTATAAAATATTAATCGAGTACATTAAAGAGAATCGAGTACATTATTTTAAAAAGCATCGAGCGAAAAGAAGCAACGCGAAGATAAGAATTCAGCGAGTCGAGCAGAAAAGAGGTTGTCCAGAGCGTTCCGAAAAGAAGTCGGTTTTGTGAAATTAAATAAGTCAAATCAAGAAACATTCATTCATTTAAGTTTTTGAAAAACATTCTGTTACTTTCCCAAATAAACTGAAATTTGTACCATCCCACAATAGGAATGATCTGCAAGGGTATATAAGCTTCGGCTAATTGTTTTTCCTCGCGGCGCATATATAACTTTTTCTTGGTTGGTTGGTTCTTAAAAATTGCAAAATTGAACTAAGTGCACATTTTAAGGGTTTTCGACCAATAACGTCTCAATGAGAAACTGGTGATTTTCGAGAGAAAAACCTGACATTGACACTCTCTCTTAAGTTAATTAAAAAGTATTGCGTAAGTATATTACGTAATTACAGCTTTGATCCACCCACCATATAGTCAATTAAAAAAAATATTTTTATACCGGAGTAATCTTTAGGTTTATTTAAATCCTGCCTAAAATCAGCATTATTCCAGATACCGGTGACCCGAATATGTTTGGATGAGATAGGGAAACTATTTATTTATTTCAGCGTAAATATTAATAAAGGCTCTGAAGATAAACATAATAATGTTTTATCCTTAATTACTCAGAGGTTTAAATTATATCCACCGGTTCAGAGGTCCCATAAGCTCCACGATAAAGCAACAGAAACCAAGGCCTAATCCTGCGAAATACATGCAAAAGACCCAGTATAGATTGTGTACTTCGATCTGATCATCCGGGATTGGGCGACTGAAATCTTTCAGTGATGTCAGATTGAGTCTCCGCATGTCCAAGAAGCTTCTATCGATCCAGTGCTTCGTTAATCCAAACTCTTTCTGTCGCAGCATATGCTCCTCGAAGAGATCGCGATAGGGCAAATGACGCCGAATGGGAAAGCTTAAGATATCAAAATAATTTAGGCAGAGTTCATCTTCGTAGTAGAAGAGTGGAGATTTGAAGATATCTTGTTGCTGGCTAAAGGTGATCCATCGCAATGCGGTTACCGGGTAGATATAGTTGTCATTGAAAGTGCTTCGCAATTGCTCGAATCGACTGTATTCAAGGACCAGTACCTTTTCCTGGCTGACGTTCAAGAACTGAAGTATCTCTTCTTCGTAAAAGGTTATGGCTAACTTGTACCTGGATATCTCCAAGTCGTCGAAGGAGGTTATATACGGCTCGACAGGAGGAGTATATAGGAAAGCCTGCAGGTAAGTCATATACATCGTGGTTGTAATCATACTGGAAAAGCAAAGAATCATGAAAATCAACTTAAGTTTTCTGCTGGAGTAACGGGGAAAAGGAAACGATTGAGCCAAGAGTCCCCTCATACATATATCGTTCATCAGGACGCTGCTCAGGCTCAGAGATTTTTCTTGCAGATAGATCAGCATCACAGAAAAAACGAAGAATAACAATAAAATCATTATAAGGACGAATGGATCCACGATCGCAATGTAGATTTGATTAAAAGGTATATCATCCGGAAGAGGAACCATTAGGCAGTAGGAACTCATTATGTACGGATAAGAGAGCGTTTCGAAGCTTGTCTTTTTAAAGGAGAGAGCCTCGCTCATTCCAATGTCTAGAAGATCTTCCGCAGCCCAATTCGTTATATTTACAAAAGACACTTCCTTTCCGGCCTCGATCAAATGCTCCTGCATAACAATGGTAGCATTGACCTTTTCAACGAAGTTATTTAACAAATTGGCTACGAAGCCAATATACTTCTCTTTGCCGGATTTAGGATCGCGGTATAACATGCATCGAGGTGCTAACATGTCTGGGAAGGATCTAATCGGCGCTCCTTTCATGTTTCGAAATTGTTCTATGAAAATCGGGTTACCTTCGAATAGATTTACTTTTTCAAAGTTTGGTTCTTGAAAGAGGCGGCAGGAGTATACCACCCCGGACTGATCCAAGTTGTCCTTCACCATGGCTACATTGTATTGCTCTTTTTTCGAATAGAAGTCGCACACCGACTGCGGTTGTATATCCCCTCGCAGAAGGATTAGTCTTCGGTTCATTTGCAGCTTCATTAGTGTGCGATAGTTCTCCTCCCTTTCGGCTTGAAAGTCACAACTGAGTATAAGGGTTAAGCTGCTGAAGTTCCATTCGAAGTTGGTGCTACCAGAAGACACCAGTACTGTTGGGATTTTTAGTCGTCTGGATAGAGAAGGAAAAGCACAATCGTCGCCATAAATTAGTAGGGTGTTGTAGTTTTCTTCGATTTCCAATCTTAGGAGAAGGCTGAACAATCCTTCCTCTAAGTCTGAGTTAGTTTCATTGGAAATATCCAATAACTCGGACTTTAAATTGCCAAGGCAGAGAAGAATGATTATTAACCAAAGCATGGTTCAAAAGTAACTGTTGTAAATTCCGTGCGATCCTTACATTTTGTAAAATCACGTAAATGTTCATTAGGCATGCCATTTACATGTTTCTCATATTGTGTTAACACAACTAAATGTTTGGGGTTTCACTCATGTAATATTCAATACGCGATTTTAATAACGCTTTCACTCTAAATACCCCTTACTAATAGAGATTAAAGATAGTGCAAAGGTTGCCAGTAAAGAGAAGAAAAAGCTTACCATTAAGTACACACAAAAAAAAACTTTGTAAAATTAACCAATATAATTGTCAAACAGTACCTAACCAGCAAAATTGTTAATTCTACCGATTAAACAGTTACTTTCACAACAACAATTACACACAATTAGCAAAGACAAAGACACCAAAGCAAAAACAAAATACACGTAACTATTTTTATAGTTACGTAAGTATCCGTATAGGTCAATTCTATCAATCAAATTTTTTTGATTGAACTATAATTTTAAGATAGGTACTTAAATTTCAGAAAAGGTAGAATTTGATTCTTAAAGACCAGTGTAACAAAAATCCATTATTATAGTTTCCCCATTAATGTTATTTACTATTTTTTAAATTATTTAAAGTTTTATTTAAGCAGAATGAGTTTGGTTCAGATAACAGAGTAAAATACAGGGTAAAATTACTTCTTTGCAGACAATTATTGGTTGTGGTTTCTTAATTCCCGCCAACACTTCCACTTATTTACTCCTATTTCCAAAATGAAGCAAACAACGCTGATCATAATGGCAGCTAGGTAGATTTTCAATATCCACGAGACGTCTTCCAACAGGAGACTTGGAGTGTATGCTTTCGGATGACTGAGGTCCTTGAGAGGTGTGAGGCCTAGTCTCACCATATCGAAGAAGCTGTGACTCCTCCAGTAGCTCACCAAGCCGAACTCCTGTTGCCGCATCATGTGATCTTCGAAGAGGTGGCGGTAGGGCAAGTGCGGGCGCAGGGGAACGGACAGAAAGATTAGTCTTGAGAAGCAGAGGTCCCTGGCATAGTAGTAGACTGGCTCTTTGAAGAGCGTCTGCTGCTCCGCGTAGGCGCTCCATCGATCTCCTGTTACCACATAGTTGAAGCTGAGGTTAAAGGCGTCCCGCAGCTCATTGCACTCCGGCATGCTGTCGATTACTACTATATTATCATTCTGAATTTCTTGGAAATACGAATTATTGTGCTGTATCAGAGCATTTACCTCAATCAATGGGATTGCAATCTTCTTTTCATTCTTACCAATATCCCCAAAGGAGTGAATTCCTGGTTTGGATGGAGGATTCGTGAAATAGGAATTCAGGTATGCCTCGTACATGGTGGTCAACATAATGCTTGCAAAGCAAACTAGGCTAACTATTAGCCTCAAGTGTTTGTTTGCATTCAAGGGAAAGGGAAAGGATTGGCCCAAGAGACCACGCAGGCTTTTATCGTTTAGCAGTATGTTGGCCAGACTCAGATCCTTCCACGACATTTTCTGACTATAAATTAGCAGCATGGAAAATATGCAGAAGACAATGAAGATAATTCCGAGAACACGGCGATCCACGATCACGGCGTACACCAAACTATATGGCAATTTCTCTGGAACTTGAACCATTAGACAGTACGAAGTGAGAATGTAGGGATAACTGGCTGTTTCTAAGAACGTTGAACCCAAGGAGGATTTCAAGGTGGCACCAATGTCAAGCTGTTCTTCTTCCGTCATTTTTAATATTTCCCTTACGATGGATTTTTTGTTCAAGATTTGTAATTGCAACGTAGCATTTACTTTCTCAGCGAAAGTGTTAATAACATTGGCCACATAGCCTGTCATCTTCTTATCCCCGCTCTTGGGATCCGGATAAAGCATGGAACGTGGGGATAAGAGGTCGGGCACTGTCTTGATGGGTCTTCCGTGCATATTTCGTAACTGTTCAATGTAAATCGGCGTATTATCCGATAAACTTACTTCTTCAAAGTTAGGATCTTCAAAGTGGCGACAGGCGTAGATAGATCCTGACTTATCGAAGTCATCTCTTAACAAGGCTATATTGTATTGCTCCCTGTGCGAATATCTTTCGCACACAGCATCAGGTTGATTATTGCCTCTTAGGTAAACTAAGCGTCTGTTTCGTTGCAGCTTAATTAAAGTACGGTAGTTCGCCTCCTTTTCCTCTTCAGGACTGCAGCTAAGTATCAGGGTTAGACTGCTGAAGTCCCAATCAAATTTGGTGCTACCCGAAGACGCGAGCACTGTGGATGCATTCAATCGCCGGGATAGAGAATGGAAAACACAGTCCTCTCCATAGACTAGCAGTGTGTCGTAGAACTCCTCCACTTGCAGCCTTAGAAGGAGAGTGAATAGTCTTTCCTCCACTTCGGGCTTACTTCTACTGGTGACATCCAAAAAGCGGGCACTGGAATTTGCAATGCAGAGAAGAAGGATAATCAACCACGCCATGGTTATAATTTAACTGTGGCAAATCCTGTGCTTTGCCCACATTTTGTACTTCAAATTTACACGAACCGTTGAACTGACATGCACTTTTCATGTTTCCCACATTCTGTTAAAGTGTTTATGACCCATAATTGGGCAATTAGCATTAAACGTGCTTGTAACTCAGGTTTTGAGGGGGGTGGTTTCCTATGGTTAACTGGGCTGTATACATTCTAATTTTCACCAGCCTTTCGTATATCCTACATAGCGATAAATGAGATGCGTCTAATGATTCTGATTATGATTGTTGGAAGATTTATCTACCCGCCATTTTTTTTGGAAACAATAGGTATACAATCCACAATAGATCACAATTCTTTTAGTGAAATTTATATGTTTTATTCAGAGTACAAACATGTGCGTTGAAAAATTTTAAAAATGTGCTAAACATTAAGCTAATAATTTGTAAACCATCCCCATTTATATGTCTTAAAGCGGCTCCAGCATTTTAAAGATACCAAGAGCTCCAGGGCGAAGCAAGCGCAACTGATACCCAATGCAAACGCGTAGAGGCCGAAAACCCAGTAAAGATCATCCACGAAGATGACCAAGTCATCATCTTGCGGTTTGCTGAAATCCGTAAACGGTGTAAGATCGAGCCTCAGCATATCCAAGAAGCTGTGGTCGATCCAGTACTTCAATAAGCCAAATTCCTTCTGCCGCAGGATGTGCTCCTCGAAGAGATGGCGATAGGGCAAGTGACGTCGAATGGGGAAGCTCAATATGCTGTAGCGACTGAGACAAAAATCATCTGAGTAGTAGAATACGGGGTGATGAAATAGCTGCTGTTGCTCGCTGTAAGTGCCCCAGCGCACACTGGTCACCGGAAAGATATAGTTGTCGTCAAAGGATTCGCGTAATCTCACAAACTCGTAGTAGTCTTCAAAGATCTTGACTCGTTCATCGCTCACCTTTTCCAGTTTACGATTGTTCCCGAAGCGCAGCATATCCATTTCGACCCAGTTCATGGCAATTTTGTACCTGGACTTTTCAAAGTCGCCAATGGTACGAATCATTGGTTTAGGTGGAGGACTAAACAGAAAGGTATTCAGATAGGCCCCGTACATGGTTGTGGTCATTAGACTGGCGAAACACAGGAGCAAGCAGATCAGCTTCAGTTTCCTACTGGATTGGCGGGGAAAGGGAAACGGCTGACCCAAGAATCCCCTCAAGCACATATCGTTCATCAGGACACTGGTCAAGGTCAGACCTCGAAAGGACTTTCTCTGGATGTAGATAAGCATCACCGAAAAGATGCAGAACATGACAATGAGTAGGCCCAGAACGCTATGATCTATAATCACACCATAGACCTCGTTGTACGGTATCTTCTCCGGAAGAGGCACCATAAAGCAGTAGGAGCACATCAGGTACGGATAGGTGAACGTATCAAAGTTGCTCATTTCCCAGGTGGTGTCCACGCTCATGCCAATATCCAAAAGGTCATTTGCGGTCCATTTCGAAATATTCACAAAAAAGACCTTCCCCTCGACCTCGGTCAATTTCACCTGCATGTCCAGGGTTGCGTTGACTTTCTCAATAAAGTTATTCAATAAATTCGCCACAAAGCCAATCCACTTCTTTTCCCCTGTTTTCGGGTCCTGGGTCACCATTGACCGCGGTGCCAAGTTGTCTGTTATTGTTCTGATCGGTGCTCCATGCATGTTTCGAAATTGATCTATGAAAATGGGTTTACCATCAAATAGATTCACTTCTTCATAATTTTGATCCTGAAAGTAGCGACAGGAGTAGACAGACCCGTTGACTTTCACAATGGCAACATTATATTGCTCCATTTTTGAATAGAAGTCGCACACCGACTCCGTTTGGGTATCCCCTTGTAGAAGGATAAGTCGTCTGTTCATTTGCAGCTTCATTAGTGTGCGATAGTTCTCCTCCCTCTCGGCTTGAAAATCACAACTCAGTACAAGTGCTAAACTACTGAAATTCCAGTCGAAGTTCGTGCTGCCAGAAGAAGAAGACACCAGAACTGTGGGAACTTGTAATCGTCGGGATAGGGAAGGAAAGACACAATTCTCTCCGTAAATTAGTAGGGTGTCGTAGTATTTATCCGTTTGCAATCTTAGAAGTAGACTTATAATTCTTTCCTCAACGTCAATATTATCAGTCATATCGGAAAACTGAGCTTTTGTTAGTCCAATGAAAAGAATAAGATTAATCAACCAAGCCATGGTCTTAATGAAACTGTTTAGAACCTCGTTAGTTCCTCGCATTTTGTATATTAAACGCTAAAAGGGCCTTTGCCTCTGCCTCAAAATATGTTGGTCAGGCATGCAGTTTTCGTGTTTTCATTTTGTGTTAATATGAATGGCCGGCCAGGGCAATTACAGGTTGCATGGGATCTGCAAATAAAGACTTTCGATGGGTTGGGCATATAATGTTAGGGTTTTTGATGTCCGTGCTTGCTAGTTCTTCAATTCCCGCCAGCGCCTCCACTTCTGAAACCTCAAATAAAAAGCAAAAGATGCTGAGAATTATGGCGACTACATACATTTTGAGAACCCAGGAGACATCCTGTAGGAGTAGACTTGCATCGTGCACCGTTGGCGGGCTCAAGTCCTTGATGGGCGTTAAGCCCGATCTTATCACCAAACCGAACTCATGCTGTCGCACCATGTGATCTTTGAAGAAGATGATAGTTTCATTATCCATACAATATTAAGATACCGTTCTTGAAGAACTCAAAAAATAAATCATTTAAATGTGTGAATACTTCGAAAAACTTTATTACTAATCATTTTAGTTTCTTAGTTTTCACAAATTTGAATTTATTAAATAACGAGAGGTAATTAATTTGCAGCAGAGGGAGAAGCCGAGTGCAGGGAGAAAAAAAACCCTTTCGCATAAAGGGGATTCAGTGACCTAACCATCCGAACATCCTTTCGCGTTGCCAACGTCTCCACATCTCAGTTTTACCGAAGAGCTCAAGTGAAAAGCAGAGAATGCTAAGCATCATTGCGACCAAATAACTTTTCAGTAGCCAGGCAAGATCCTCCATGACTAGGGCTACCTTTTTCCTTGGTGGTGGACTTATGTCCGTAAGCTGGGTTATGCCCACTTTAACCTTGACCATGAAGGCGTGGTCCATCCAGAGACCCACCAATCCGAACTCATGCTGTCGCCTCAAGTGATCTTCCAAGAGGTGGCGATAGGGCAGATGTCTCCGCATGGGAATGGATAGAAAAAGTAGACGTGAGAAGCAGAGGTCCTTTGCAAAGTAATACACCGGCTTTTTGAAGATCCTTTGATGCTCGTCAACACTGGTCCAGCGATCTCCTGTTTGCATATAACCGTAGCTGAGGCTGAGCCTATCCCGAATTTTAACAAACTCGCGCAAATCCAAGAAGATTTCTAAGTCATCCTTTGCCATTTCCATAAATTCCGTATTATTGCTTTTGATCATTGCGTTTGCCTCATATTCAGAAATCGCCAGCTTTTTGTTATATTTTCGTATGTCCTTAAAGGACCGAATGGGCGCTGCATTAGGGGGGTCCATTAAGAACGAGTTCAGGGTGCCACAGTACATGGTGGTCAGCATGATGCTGGCAAAGCAAAGAATGCAGAAGATCAACCTTAGTGTCTTGCTTGCATTGGCGGGAAACGGATGAGATTGGCCCAAGATCCCGCGAAGGGTGACATCATTTAGCAGTATGCTCGAAATCTTAAGGCTCCGCCATGACAACTTTTCGCTGAGAAGCAGCAGCACAGAGAGCAGGCAGAACATCACGAAGATCAGGATGAGGACTTGCGAGTCCATTACAACCGCATATGTTATATTAATTGGCAACTGGGATGGAATTTGCAGCATTAGGCAGTACGGTGTCAGCACAAATGGATAGCTGGTAGTGTCCCATCCACCATCGGAAAACATTGAGTTCACCAAACTTATGCCGATGTCGAGCTCACCTTCATCAACCCCCTTTGTTATTTCACCATAGTTCTGCTTAAAAATCTCGTACTGCAAAGTAGCATTCGTTTTTAGGACATAGTAATTGATCGAATCGGCCAAGTATCCAGTTAACTTTATTTTGCCGCTTCTTCCATCCAGCATGGCCCGCGGAGCCACAAGATCTGTCATCGCCCTGATCGGTTTTCCATGCATATTTTGAAATTGTTCAATATAAATCGGTTCACTTGTATTTGTGTCTACTTCTTGAAGACTGGGATCTTGAGTGGAGCGACAGGCATAAACCATTCTCGAGATGTCGAAGTCCTCTCTTACCATAGCTACATTATATTGTTCCTTCTGCGAATATTGTTCGCATACAGCGCTCGGTTGATCAGCCTGTGTTATGTAGATCAGACGTCTGGATCTTTGAAGTTTAATAAGTGTGCGATAGTTAGCTTCCCTATCATCTTGCGGCCCACAGCTGAGGATCAGAGCTCGACTGTTGAAGTTCCAATCGAAGTTGGTGCTACCTGTAGACACGAGCACTTTGGGCTCATGCAAGCGCTTAGATAGCGAATGAAAAACGCAATCCTCTCCATAAACAAGAAGGGTTTCGTGGGGTTCTTCTAGTCTCAATCGTTGCAGAAGATTTATTAATCCGTTCTCCAGCTCTATGTTCTTTTTAACTTCTATATCCGACAATTGAGCCCTTGAGCTCCCAAGGCAGAGAAGCAGGATAATTAACCAGACCATGGTCTACACAATACTGTTGGATATCTCGTGCAGCCTTCATATTTTGTATTTTACATGCATTCAGAACCGGAGTACCTTGTGTATAAGCTGGTCTGGCATGCAACTCTCGTGTTACCGTGTATTAACTTGTTTAAGTTTGAGTGCAACCCATTTCGAGTAAAATAAATAATTCAAATACAGGTACTGTCTAAAAGGATTAGAATAGTTTGTACTAATTTTTAAATTGACTCCCGTGCCCCCACTTTTCTATTCCTATTTCCAATAAGAAGCATAAAATGCTCAGCAAAATAGCAGCCAAATAAAGTTTAAGTATCCATGAGATGTCCTCCATTAACAGACTTGGACTAGCCGTTATTGGCCGACTGAGGTCCTCGAGAGGCGTTATGCCGAGTCTTACCATATCGAAGAAACTGTGGCTCTTCCAGTAGTTCACTAGCCCAAACTCATGCTGTCGCATCATGTGATCATTGAAGAGATGACGGTAGGGCAGGTGTCTCCGCATGGGAAATGACAGGAAGATCAGATGTGAGAAGCAGAGGTCCTTGGCGAAGTAGAAGAGTGGTTCCTTGAAAAGCTTCTGCTGCTCCGCATATGCGCTCCATCGATCCCAGGTCACCAAGAAGCTGTAGTCGCGATTGAAGGCGTTACGCAGTTCAAGGTACTCCTGCCAGTCATAAAAGATTCTAAGGTCGTCTTTGTGAATTTCAAGGAATTGTGTGTTGTTGAGGTTTATAAGAAGACTATTTTCTATTTCGGTGATTCCGATCTTTTGGTGAAACTTGCCAAACTCCTTGAAAGAATGAATGTGAGGTCCTGATGGAGGATCCGTGAAAAAAGATTGTAAGTAGGCCTCGTACATCGTGGAGATCAGAATGCTTGCGAAGCACAGAATGCAAAAGATCAGCCTTAAATGCTTGTTAGCATTGGAGGGAAATGGAAACGATTGACCCAAGAGACCTCGTAGGCACATGTCATTCAGTAATATGTTGGCCAGACTAAGGTCTTTCAAAGTCTTTCTCCGGCTATATATCAGCAGCATAGAGAGCAGGCAAAACAGCAAAAAGATAATGCCAAGGACTAGTGGATCCACTATAGCGGCATAAACCAAATTGTATGGCAACTTTTCTGGAACTGGAACCATTAGGCAGTACGATGTCAGAAGATATGGATCGCTAGCTGTTTCAACGTTCTTTTCATATAAAGAGGTTTCCAGAGTGACGCCAACGTCAATCTGATCGAGCCGAGCCCTTTTTGATATGTCCTTTGGGCTTTCGTTACCAGCAAGATAACCATATTGCAAGGTAGCATTCACTTTCTCAGCGAAGTTATTGATTAAATTGGCCACATACCCCATTAGCTTCATTTCACCACTATTGGCATCTCGATACGGCATGGAACGCGGGGGTAAGAGGTCTGCTTTTGCACTGATAGGTTTTCCGTGCATATTCTGAAATTGTTCAATATAGATTGGCCTCGTGTCCGATAAATTTAGTTCTTCATAATTAGGTTCTTGGAAGAAACGACAAGTGTAAATGACTCTGAACTTTCCGAAGTCCCTCTGTAACATCGCTATATTGTATTGCTCCTTTTTTGCATAGCTATTACATACATTTCTTGGTTCCACTTTTTCTTGTAGATAAATCAGACGCCTGCTTCTTTGCAGCTTAAGAAGAGTACGATATGTTGTTTCTCTCTCTGATTCAGGGCCACAACAAAGAATCATAGTTAGGCTACTAAAATGCCAATCAAAGCTGGTGCTACCTGAAGAAACCAACACAGTGGGAACATCCAAATGTCTGATTAGGTCATGAAAGACACAATCCTCTCCGTAGACAAGCAGAGTGTCATAGAACTCGTCCTGTCGCAGTTTGTGAAGAAAGTGAATAAGTCCTTCATCTGTATCGTTTTCGTTGTGACCTGAGATCTTTGGGAACTGGGCTGCAATCTGGAATCCCAGGCAGAGAAGGCAAATGACCAAACTAGCCATAGTTCATACACAAACTGTTAATATAACATGAGGGCTCCTCCTTTTTGCTTCCTTTCTTGTCAATTTAAATAGTTTTCATGTGTAAGTCACATATTTTGATTTAGGTATGTTAATAGCTCTGCAAAAATATACAAGTCGGCCAAACAATTTTGAGTGATGTTCGTTTTGGGAAACATTTTTTATATCGCGTGGAACCGTTTGCTTTCACTACAATTATAGGTTCCAGTCATGCATTTTACTCGTACTTGCTTTTAAATTCCGTAGGGAGGGTCTAGTTTGCACCTACTTGAATCCAGCAATTAATATGGAAACTACTTTTTATTGTTTTATTGTTAAATATAAAAAAAAACCGATTATTAGCACTCGTTGTTTATTAATCTTCGGCTTCCCGCATATAAAATCTCAAATAAAAAGCAAAAGATACTGAGCGTTATGGCGACTACATACATTTTAAGAATCCAGGAGACATCCTGCAGGAGTAGACTTGTATCGTACACCGTTGGTGGACTTAGGTCCTTGATGGGCGTTAGGCCCATTCTCACCATGTCGAAGAAGCTGTGGCTCTTCCAGTAATTGACCAAGCCGAACTCTTGCTGTCGCATCATGTGATCTTCGAAGAGGTGACGGTAAGGCAATTGTCGCCTCAGTGGAATTGACATAAACAGTTGCCGGGAAAAACAGAGGTCCTTTGCGAAGTAGAAAATGGGCTTCTTGAAGAGTTTCTGCTGCTCTGCATAGACGCTCCAACGATCTTCCGTTACCATATAGCCGTAGGTGAGATTAAGAGTATCGCGGAAGTTCAGATACTCCTTCCATCCCTCAATGATGACAAGGTCCTCTTTGTTTATTTCGGCAAATTGTGAATTATTCGTAATTTTCAGCGATGTGATTTCAACCTCGGCCATAACAATCTTCTGATGATACTTTCCAATATCCTTGAATGAACGAATTTCATGATCCGTCGGGGGATTTGTGAAATACGATTGCAGATAGGCATCGTACATGGTGGTCATCATAATGCTGGCAAAGCACAGAATGCAAAATATTATTCTCAGATGTTTGCTAGCGTTTGAAGGAAACGGGAACGATTGACCCAATAGACCGCGTATGGTTATATCATTTAGCAGAATGTTGGCCAAGTTCAGATTCCTTTTCTGACTGTAAACTAACAGAATGGAGAGCAGACAGAAAAGCACAAAGATTATAACGAGAACGAGGCGGTCAACTATGATGGCATACACCCGATTAAATGGCAACTTTGCGGGAATCGGGAGCATTAAGCAGTAATTGGTCAACAAGAATGGATAACTGGCGGTATCAAGGCCATTGGTAAAAACTGAGGCCTCCAAACAAATGCCAATATCAAGCTCATCATCATCCTTAATCCTCCTTATTATATCTTTAAAGTTTACCTTGCTACTTAGGGTGTCATATTGCAATGTGGCATTTATCCTCTGAGCGAATGTATTCATCAGATTGGCCACATAGCCCGATAGCCTTCTTTCTGCGCTCCTTGGATCCACATACTCCATGGATCGGGGAGCCACTAGATCTGCTACTGCTGTGATCGGTTTTCGATGCATATTCCGAAAGTTTTCAATAAAAATGGAGTCTCCCTTCAGTACATCTATTTCTTCAAGGTTGGGATGTGATAGAAAGCGACAGGCGTATACCATTCCCGTTATTCTGAAGTCTTCTCTTACCATAGCCACATTATATTGCTCTTTTTGGGAATAGCTATCGCATACAGAAATCGGCTGAATGTCCTCTGGTAAGTAGATCAATCGCCTGCTTCTTTGTAGTTTTTTGACAGTGCGATAGTTATCCTCTTTTTGATCTTCGGGACCACAACTGAGTATCATAGTCAGGCTGCTGAAACTCCAATCAAATTTTGTGCTACCCGAAGATACTAAAACGGTGGGCACATCCAAACGTCCGGAGAGGGAATGGAAAACGCAATCTTCTCCATAGACAAGCAACGTATCGTATATCTCTTCCTGGCGGAGTTTCAGAAGAAGGTGGTACAGTCCCTCTTCGAGGTCTCCTTTTCTCTCAGCTGAGGTATCCAAAAAATGTCCTCTTATCCCTCCAAGACAGAGGAGGAGAATTGCCAACCCAACCATAGTTTTCACCAAACTGTTTCGATGCCATGACATTTCCCAGCTTTTTGTTCTGTCGCTTGCTTATTAAAATACCTCTCATGTTTAAAACCCATATGAGTAGAAAACATGTTGTAAATGAGGTGCCCTCAACTATTTCTAGTTTGTGTTATTTTTGTAAAACATTTGTGGTAAAACGGTTGTGGGGCGACTAACAATTTTGACTAATAGTTTTTATAGCTACAAAGACCTTCTGATGGCTTTAAGTTGATTCGATTTTCTCATGCACTTTCCGTGTTGTCCCAGTAGTGGTAGCATTGGAAAGTGAATAGCTTTGAAGGTCGGTAAAATGCTGGTAAAATGTGTACTGTTTGCTAAAGCTCTTAATTTATTAGACATTTTTATTAAACTAAAAATGTGGTTCAAGTTTCCCTCGACCTAAAAAGAAAACTCAAACTTGTCAAAGCTTGTCCTTAACTTTATTTAGTCAGCAAATATATTCCCTATTCTGAATTTAGAATATACAATTCATCTTAAAACATAAAAATTTTAATAAGGTTTTAAAAGTTTAATAGAATTTGCTTTGGTATGCTTTGCTTAAAAAATCACCTATTTACCTCCAGCACCTCCACAACCGACTGCATATCTCACCGCAACGAGATATCTCCAGTATAAAGCAGCAGATACTCAGTCCGATGGCTCCCAAATAAAGCTTTAGTATCCAGGAGATGTCGTCGAGAAGTAGGCTCCCCTCAATCTTTCGCTCGTGACTTAGGTCCTTCATGGACGCCAGGCCCAGCCTAACCATTTCGATAAAGCTCTGGCTCTTCCAGAATGTCACCAATCCGAACTCGTGCTGTCGCATCATGTGCTCCTCAAAGAGGTGTCGATGGGGCAGATATCTTCGCATGGGTGGGCTGAAGAACATGAGCTGATTGAAGCACAGATCTGCGGCCAGATAGAAGGCGGGCTCTGCGAAGAGCTTCTGCTGTGCCTCGTAGCCACTCCATCGATCCACAGATACGGGAAATATAAAACTGGTATTGAAGGAGTCACGCAGGACTAGATATTCCGACCAGTTCTCGTAGATCAGTAGGTGATCCTCGTTGATCTCCCGAAAGTGGGAATTGTTCAAGGAGGTCAGCACATTTACCTCCATCCTGCTTATCGCCATCTTCAGCGAAAAGTTTCCAATATCTCGAAAGGAGCGAATAGATGGTTCGGAGGGAGGGCGAGTGAAATAGGATTGCAGATAGGCCTCGTACATGGTGGTGATCATAACGCTGGCGAAGCACAGGACAAAGATGATGAGCTTGAGGTGCTTGCTGGGATTGGGGGGAAACGGAAACGATTGACCTAGAAGACCTCGAAGGCTTTTGTCGTTCAGCAGTACGTTGGCCAGGGTGAGATTTTGCCAGGAGAGGTTTTCCGAGTAGATGATCAGAATCGAGAACACGCACAACAGCACGAAGATAATGCTGAGGACCTGTGGATCCACTATCATCGAATACACCAAGTTGTAGGGCAGCTTGGCGGGCACCGGAACCATCAGACAGTAGCCGGTCAGCAAGTAGGGATACCAAACGTTGCCCGTACTCTTGAACTGCAAGGAACTGGACAGTGCGGTGCCAATGTCCAGGATATCCTCCTTGGCCCAGTTCATAATATCCACCACACTGGCCTTCTGAACGCCCAGGTCTGTTATGTTTATGAACTCCAGACTGGCATTCAGTTTCCGGACATAGTTGTTCATCATGTTGGCCAGATAACCGACCATTTTGGTCTGGCCAGTCTTCCTATCTCGATAGACCATGGTTCGAGGCACCAGAAGATCTGGCACCGTTCTAATCATAGCTCCATGCATATTCTGAAAGTTCTCAATGTAGATGGGTTGGTCTTGGAAAAAGTGCTCTTCCTCATAGTTGGGTGTCTGAAAGAAGCGACAGGAGTAAATGGTATCTGACTGATGAAAGCTGGACTTGACCATAGCAATGTTATGTTGCTCCTTCTGGGAATATTGGTTGCAAATCTCCTCTGGCTGGCTATTTTCCTGTAGATGGATCAGCCGCCTGGTTCTCTGCAACTTCAGTAGGGTGTTCGAGTTCTCCTCCCTCTCTGCATCAGATCCACAGGTCAGTATGAGGGTCGAGGTACTGAAGTTCCAATCATAATTGGTACTTCCCGAGGCTACAATTACTGCGGGCTTGCCCAGGTGTCTTAGTAACGAATGGAACACGCATTCTTCTCCGTAGACCAGCAGAGTGTTGTACTCTTCCTCCAAATTAAGTCGCGAAAGCACTCGAAGTAATCTATCCTCCAACTCGAGATCTGTGGTATGAGTAACATTGAATAGCTTGGCACTCAACTGGCCAAAGCAGCAGAAAATCAGGACTAGCCATCCCAAAGCCATCGCGGAACTGTTGGTCATCCTGGCAGCACAAGTCCTTTTTATATTTGCTTATATTATATTTCAGAGTATGAAGAGTTCCCAAATCCATTTGAAAGGTATTTCGAAACCCTGTTAAAAAGTGCATATCATTTTGTCATGCAATTTCCGTGCTCAGCTCGTTTTGTCGAACCATGTGTATGGCAATTAACGGCTGCACTTTAAAGTGTTTGGCTGACATTTATGCGGGACACGAGATTCATTTACCTGAGAATGCCGCCTCCTGGGGGTAAACCAAAAAGTGTTGGCCTTGTGCGTGAGATTGCCCCATTTGAATTTCTCGAAAGGCCTTTAACAACTTCCGCTGCAATTCGAAAATGAACTCGAGCAACCAGTGCATTTCCATTTCGACGATGCATGTTTTAAGAGTGCTGGGAAGACAGACAATTCGATTGCCGAAACGAAATTTTCCGGCAATTTAAGCCAAACCAGACTCAATGCATTCGATTTTGTGACTTGGGCCCGCATGGAAAGTGTAGAAACGCAAACATTTCGTTTTATGCTCTTAATTGCAGTGCAAGTGGATTTCAATTATTCAAATGAGGCGCTTCCCCGGCAAATGCAGCTGCATTTTACTTCCGAACTGCCGCAAACTGGTTCGTTTTTGGCCAAGAGAGTTTTATGGGAGAAGGCTAAGGCGAAGGCGACACTGAAATCGAAACTGAATTTCTTCTGCTTCATCATCTGGCTATATGGCTCTATGGCTATATGGCTATCTTGGCTGGCGATGATATCGCGGCTTTATCTCTTTGGCCTGCCTTTTGCCATTTTGCTCTCCGCTGTGAATGACGTTTTCAGCGAAAGTTGTTACGTTACCTTACCATCCATCGACAACCAGCACCGAAAGCCTATGCAAAACCGGTCGGTCATTGATTTTTGGTTACTGCAAATTGTCTGGCCATGACCAGCTGTGGAGCACAACTCATCTCCGCTGCAGCGAAGGCGACTGCAACTGCAGCCGAAGCCACTCGAAAAGAGTCAGGCAAAAATGCTTTGTTGTCACTTGTGCCCCGCTCCACACTGCGTATGCTTGATTCGGCTGTAATGGCTTTCGTGCGTGCGAGTGTGTGGCGAATCTCGCTGTTTACGGCCGGTAAATGTTTACATAGCCAACCAGTTGCAGTGCCAGTTGAACATTGTTCAATATCTTTCAACGAAAATATTTTCTTAATAAACATGCTTCAAAGCAAACCGATAAAGTCTTTGATTGGTTACCAACAGAGTATTATTTAATGGTCTATATATTTTCCTAGAAGCACTTAAATGGTTTATTATTACCAATTTCGTAATAGTTTTTATAATTTATTGTCTGTTTGCAAATTGTCTGGTATTTTATGGGTTTTTAAGGGTTTTGTAACTATAGCTTACTATATTGACCTTTAAATGACAGTACTATTGAAAATGAAATAAAAACATTATTTAATACATTTTTCCGTGAAAGTTTTTTTCTATGTCCAAGAAATTAGAATATTAATTAAGTTACTTATTGCCAAACAAAAAACACATAAAACAGGTTATAATTAATTACATAATGTGTTTTAAATTAATGGTTACTAATTGTATGGTGTTAATTACGGCTAATTTGTACGTTTTTGTTGTATTTAAAAAATGTTGTGTGTGCTGTATACATTCAAATGGCATATATATTGGTGCAAAATATAAAAAATAGATAATATTTTTCGGGCTTGAAAGTACAGTATTTCCATGGTCCCTTCATTTATATTCTTATTCTTTGGGTTTAAGAAATATTTTAATGTTTTATTGGGTTAAATAAAAAACACCAAAACGTTACAGGCTAGCACAAAAGAAATAAAATTGAATTAATTTAAAAATAAATTGTCATATATATGCTGAACCCCTTTCATTTGCCCCAGTAGCCCAAAAAATATGTTTATCGCATAAGAACAGCTTATTATGATAATTTCACAAAACTGGTTGCACTTCCTTTCACTCCCAACTCTTTTGCTTTTGTCTGGCTTGTAAATTCGCTGGTAATCCAAGGAGCCATAAAACAAGAGCCAAGAGCCACCGAAATCTTGTAGGATTGCTTGTCTTTTGGCTAAGATTGCTTTCGGCCCAAAAGTAGGCAACAGAGTTTGGTCTACATGGTTTAGTAGAAAATATAGTCTCTTGAGCCAGAACTCCCAAAACTTCACCAAATTGGTGAGTAGGCTTGAGCTACAGGTCGGACTCAGGGTCCCGACCCGAAGTCAATTTCGTTTGGAGTCACACCAAAATTACCAGTGGATCGAAGAAGAAGTTAGTTGCAAGTGCAAAGATCAAAGTTACACAAATTAAAGGAAATCCAAAATTTCCAAAATTCCCGGCAATCGCCGTTACAAGTGGCTTAAAAACCAAAAAAAAAACACAAGTGCTAAAGTGCCAACCCCTAGTGGGTAAGTTTTTTGAGTGCGAGAAGTTGATAAAGTGGTGTTTGAACGCCGTAATGTTTTTAGGTGGCACCTAATTACATAACCCCGGTCCGCCAAAAGCCAGGCTTGGGCGTAAGAGGCGTCTGGAGAACAAAAGCGCCAACAGGAGTGAAGTTATATATCCATCAACCGATCAATCAGCACCAGCAGCAGCAGCAGAATCCGAGATCCCTCAGCAGCGACAATAGCGCCGAGAATTTGATTTATTTATTATCTACATATTTTATTATCATTATCTACATATTTTTTCTACTTTCTACATCTACGTTTATATGTTGTAGAATAGCCCAGTAGCCAACAAAATTTAGGCTAGGGTCCATTTACCGGCAATACAATCCGTAAGCCGTAGGGAAATATAGCCCAAGAAGACAAAAAAAAAATGAATTAATCAACCCCTCAAATACTAAATCATTTCGAATTACATTTAAAACTTAAAGTTTCGAATTTTACGCGTCATTATACGCCACTAGAAGCAGATTGAAGCTGAATTTTAGTTTAAGTAGTTTTAAGAGAATAGTTATAATCAAGAGAGTAGGTCAATAACAGGGAAAATATGCATTAGAGCTGAGCAGTCCCGTCTTCCCATGTACTTTTCCCTTCCCTCTCCCATGTCTTAACGGCAGAGTACCGTACCGCTGTAGAGTACGAGTAAGGCGAGTGAGAGTAACGCTAGCGATCTCTTATGTAGTTGAGGTTCTCTTTCACAGGCCCCCTTCGAGAAGCGCTTCTTCGTGGGAAAACAAAGTGAGTCGATTTAATGTCATAAGAATCTCAACTACCCTTTTTAAATAGAACAAAAGTCTAAAGAGAAAATTTAACTTGTTACAAAATAAAAAATTCACCCCTCACTTAAATGCTGTAATAAAAAAAAAAAAAATTTAAAGAAACTACAAACTCCAAAAAAATGTCCTCCCCATAAAGCCCAAACCACAACTCCCTGCTCAATAATATAAAGTTTTAAGCCACACATATCATGCCATAATTTTACATACCTACACCCATTATACCCGCTCTCTACATTTGTATTATTTCATGTAAAAGCTAGATGTTATATACATGAGCACTGAAATATTCAGCGATCGCTAAATTTAATTTTTATTCATTAAATTCGCAATTTTAAGTTCAATCTATATGTTAATCACTTCTTAGGATCCTAATGCTCTTGTTTAGAATTAAATTTTGTCAGTTAATAGGATTATTCTATGTTTAAAAATAAAATTTATAATGTTGTCTAAAGTTGAGTAGAGTCCATAGGGAAGCCATGCGTCGTCGAATGTTATCTGTCGTGTAAAGTGTAGTCGCCTTTTAGGGATCGCCATAAATATATCTGGTCGATGGTGATCATGGTAGGGAGGGCAAGTCAGCTTGAACAACCGCTGACATAAAGGCACTACATCCTTGTTCGTCCTTATCTGTCCTTTGCTAGTCAATAGTCCGGTCCATTAGTCCTGTGGAGATCCTCGTACCCTTTAGCACGCGAAGTAATAAGATTTTGTTGTTCGTCTATAGAGCAAGTAGCAGCGTTCTTAAAACCTATCCCCGACCCCCCTCTACTGGTAACTCATGCCGGAACCAGCGCGTGCTCTACGTAGGCTACAAATTACACCAGCTCTCGAAACGTAGTTCGCTACAGTATTCTAATATATAACAATAAACTTATTTGGCGCCCAAACGTGTGTGGCCCGATTCTGTCATGGCGACAGTTCGATCCGGCAAGGCCAGATCCATTAAAAAAATATTTAAAACCGTCAGTAACATCAGACGTTAGTCAAGAGAATCTCCACAGCATTCATCCGCTAGATTAGGTGCGGCGAGGAGTGATTTACGGATCACAACTCCTTGCATACTATTAGGCCGCTGGAAAAGTTTTAGCTATTTAGCTTTAACGCCGCTACCTAATTAAACTTACGCATAGGGCGTTGTTTATTGGCTTAATAAATTTGCCATCCCGTCTTTTAGCGTGGGAAGTATTATTTTTTTTTTTACTGAAGTTTAATATAGAATTGTACAGAACACTTGTTGCCGGTTGCCTGGTGTATCTGGTATAGTCTGTGTTTTATGCGAAGTTCAAGAATTTTATTAATACCAGATGTTATATGTAAGATTAAGAGTCTGTTTTCGAGAATCTGAACAATAGGAGCCGGATGTTGCCGTTTTGCCATGCGGTGAACCGATTAAGTAGGTATTTTCGTTAATAGATCGTCATCTGAAAACGATATCTTTCACCTTTCTAGTCAATTTTTTTTGTAATTTAATTTTGTTTTGCGTATTAATCTTTTTGTAGTGGAGTTTTAGGCGGAATTGTACAGAACACTTTTGGCCGTTTGCCTGGTGTGTCTGGTATAGTCTGTATATAATACAAGTTGCAAAAAGTTATTTGATACAAGATGTTAAATGTAAGATTAGTGAATCTGTTACATGGAAATCCAGATATTACAGGAGCCTCTTGTTGCCGTTTGCCTTGAGGTGAACCTTTTTATTGTTTTTGTGTAATAGTTCGTCATCTGAAAACGACATCTTCCACTTGTAATT